TAGTCTATGGTTCTATGTTTTGCTGTAACTTACTGGTATTAGCCTAGGCCTACCTGCATTAGGGTCTTGTTCATTTTCAATTTCAAGATTTTCGTCAATATCTGACGTCTCTAAATCGTTCAAATCGGGCACATACTCCTCTCCACTCCCTGACGAAAAGTCTAGCAAAGATAGTTCAGAATCTGAATGATAATTAACATCAATGTCACTACCAACTTCATCCGGATCGTCAATAAGTCCTTCAACATCACTAATTTCATCTTCTAGTGCATTACGTATATCACTACTGTCCATTTTTACCACTAAAAACGACGATAAACGTACAAAAACACACAAGTCACCGATGTGAAATAACCAAGTTGTCTAAAACACGAACGTCAGCTGTCTGCTACCATTACGATCGGCTCAGAGAACATACAGCGCTGAGACAGACCTCTGGAGAAAGCTTAGAATATACAGGGTGTCCACAAAAAATTTGTCATTAATTTCCATGACTTTCCATGACTATCCATGACCATTTACCGTTGATTTCCATGACTCACGAACCATGACTATCCATGACCATTTACCGTTGATTTCCATGACTCACGAACTTTACACACAAATTATAATATAACATACACACACAAATAATACTGCCTGGACATGTTATTTTGCAGAAAATACTGAAATATGTAATAACAGATAACAATGGAGTACAATAGGTACAACAGTGAACTAAAAGAAACCGAAAACTCATAGAATAATACAACTGTAATAAATTGAATTGTCGAACATTTGTGAAAAATCCTGAAAAATGCTATAACAGTCCGGGTTACGGCTGACTAGAGCATTGAATGGTCCCCTCAAATCCATCCATAATAGGAAATTTCCATGACTTTCCATGACTTCTTGCCTATTTCCCTGACTTTCAATGACCAAAATTTTTTTCCATGACTATCCCTGACTTTCCAGAATGTGGACACCCTGATATAACGAAAAGAACGATACCTAACTCGATCCAATTCAATCCGATTCAGTCAGTCATAGAGCCTTCGCCGTAAACAGTGTTCGTGAGTCGCTGCAGCGACGCATGACACTCGGAGGGTTAAATGATTATGATGAAAACTCACATGAAAATAATATACTAAATAAATATGATAATTATGGTACATTACACCACTCCAATACACCAACACTCACAATTAATTCTGACACTATCACTGATACTATTGAACAAAACCAACTACTAGACACCGAACAGAAAAGTCAACTTGTCAACTTACTCCTCAAATATCAAGATACATTTTCGGACGCTCCAGGATTATGTAACAAATACCAGCATCACCTTGAAGTAAAGGAACCAACTACATTCCAAATGAAGAACCCGAAGAATAATCAAGCATTATTTACCCCAAGCAATGAAGAGATCTAATCACCTCAAACCTGTTAAGTGTATTCATGACCTAATTGTAAATATTGTATATAATATCATTCTATTCAAGTGAATTCGTATACCTCATTAATCTTCCAAGAACTTATAAACTTGTATTTGTTTCACCTTGTTCATTACTATGTTTTCTCTTATTCAGATGATATAACTTGTTAATTTTAAGTATTTTCCTGTTCAAATATTAATGTTTTCTATGATAATTTTGTTTACATTATTCGAAATCTAGTATTGGATACTCAAATACCAGATTTCTGAGGGGATATTTGAGATGTTCAAAAATTATCCTCATTGTTTACTTTTGAATTTGTATATATAAGTTGTTTATAAACCATGTGTTATGTATCCAAACACCTAGGCCTACTATTAGCTAAATTAATACCTCTAAATTATCACATGTTTACATACAGTAAGAGGGCAAAAGGTTTCACCTATTGTAAATTTCCATATTTCACATTCTCATCAACCACTTTCTTTTATTATTTAATAAGCTGGAATTTATGTAATCACTGGAAGTTATTTATACAGTTTGAATTATTTTACAAAATTATTCTTCTCTTTCACTTTCAAAAATATAATTAAAATACTCGATATAATACCAACCAATCATAAGTAACAGTGAATAGTGAGTGACATCAAGAAACCAGTGATAACCAATTGTTGCAACAGATGTATGAAATTTAACATCAAGATTTTCAATTGCATAGTAAGTGACGAAGAAGCAAGGAAGGAATCTGATTTGAAAATTTTAATTGGTGATTTAACTTAACAGTATTTAAACCTCAAGATCTATCTCAATTACTTAATACCTATCATTTCTACATCAAGAAATATTTTGTGATGAAGACTACTATAAACTTTTGGGTGAGATCAAACTGAACTTGACTTAGGCCTACTTTGCTAAAATACTCACATTGCAAAATTTCTATTGACTTTTGCCGTTTTGAACTTTAACCTAAATTATCATTTTACTAAATTCAAAATTTGAACTTTCATCTTTTCAAAAGTGTATACCTAATTGAACTGTAACTTTTGATGAACATTAGGCTTATGCCTATCCAAAATCACATAAGCCTACTTTGAGCCGGCCCGATACTCCTAGAACCCTGAGATAATAATTCCATCTAAATTTATAACCATATTTGTACAATTTGATAAATAAAAAGGTTTATATGTGTTCATTATTGTAAACCCTGGACATTTATTTATTTACCAACACACATAGACTAATAAAGAACTTTACACGCTATTGTATTTTCTATTGGAAAATTTTTCAACTACCTCTATAGAAGAAAGTTTGAATTGATAACAGATAACCAACCACTCACACGAATATTTCACCCAAAGAATGTTCCTCCAATGACAGCTGGTCGACTTTTACGCTATGCAGTTTTCCTTTAGAGGATTTGAATACAACATCAAACATCGGAAAGCAGAACAACACCAAAATGTAGACTTTCTATCCAGGATTTTTCAAACAACGGAACATCATGGTATCGACACAGCACTGAATAAAGAAGAAGATGAAATAGAACAGAACTCAATCCTTCAAATCTCATCAATCAACATCACAAGTGATTCAATTTCAAAAGAAACTGCGTACGATCCAGGAATGAAAGATCTTATGAAACAAATAAAAGAAAGTGCAAATGATCCAATCTACTCAACCAATCAAGGAATTGTATTCAGAGGAGAACGTTTCTACACTCCAAGATCACTACGCTCTCATGTTTTAGAAGAGCTTCATGCAACACACATAGGAATGGTAAGAATGAAGCGACTCGCAAGACTCCACTGTTATTGGCCCGGAATTGACCAAGACATTGAAAATAAAGTTCGATCATGTGCAGCTTGCTATTTACAGTCAAAACAGCCGACAAAAGTTTTTCACCCTTGGGAAATCCCTAAGGAAAACTTTGAAAGAGTTCACATGGACTACGCAGGACCATTTAATGGACACCATTTCCTATTAGTGATTGATGCTAAATCTAAATGGCCTGAGGTTCGAATAACCAAAAACACACCATCCACGGCTACGACAATAGAATTTCTAAATGATATATTCTCTACAAATGGATATCCTGCTGTACTAGTTTCCGATAATGCCACCATTTTTACTAGCCAAGAATTTACAGACTTTTGCCGACAAACAGGCATATTTCAAAAATTTATCGCCCCAGGACACCCAGCAACCAATGGGTTAGCGGAACGCTATGTGCAAACGTTAAAGACATCTTTGAAAAATTGTGCTGAAGATCCTCAAAAGAATATTAAATCACAAATTCAAGACATACTGCTTCGCTACCGAGCTGTACCTCAACAATGCGGACAATCACCGGCTGAACTGTATTTGAATCGAAAGATCAGAACAAAACTAGATGCTCTCAAACCACCTAAGAAAAACACATCATTACATCCAGGCTTTCAACAAGTAAGCCGCTCATTTAAAGTGGGGGAGAGAATATTAGTACGTTCCTTAGACGGCTGGAAGTTCGGAAAGGTGGAGCTTCAACTTGGAGCTCTGCACTACAAAGTCAAACTGGACAACGGTTACATTGGCAAGAGATGAGGTTACACTGATCAAGTTCAAGAAAACATCAGTTCCAGAAACAACAGACAACACACACTCCAGCTCATCTTCTAAAGAAAATACCAGTTTGCAACAACAGAACGTGACATTCAAGGACAATGATCTGGAAAATACAGAAGTTTCAGCAGAAATCAGGCTTAAAAGCAGAGAAGATAATAATGATCAATTTAAAAATGCAGAAATCAGGCTTCAACCCAGTGAACATAATAATCATCAAACAGATGACAATGCTTCAACAGATGTTCCTCGCAAATCAGCCAGAACAAGAAAGCAACAAAAAAGACTGGACTTATGAATCAAATTTAGTGGGGAAGAAACTGTGTATCTCTATGTTTCAAATGCTATGCATTTAATAATTTAATCATCTGTTAGTTCAAAAATTTGATTAAATCAATGTAAATAAACTAGTGACAAAATAAGGCTCATTTTTCATCTTACATTTATTTAACTATTTATTTCAATATATAAACTTACAATACATAACAAATATGGTTACTGTTAACAAATTGTTTGTATGTATGGAATTGTCTTAGTTCATTCTCATACATGACTTGTACTCCAAGTTCTATATTTGATTAGAAATTAAATAAAGTTACAATATTCTGGAGGTTATGAGTTTGCAATAAAAGTTGCTTTTATAACAAGACATATTAGATTATATCAAGGCCACACTAAAAAAACAGGCCGTAATGCTCGTCAAGCATGACGTCAAGATAGAAGACGGCAATGACGTAATTTTGCCGTTTGTGATCAGCTGCTTGATTTAATCTTTCAGTGGAAAATAAATAAATAAATATACGTCATAGCCGTCTAGAAGACGTCATGCTTGATGAGCATTACGGCCTGTTTTTTTAGTGTGGCCTTGATTATATCCTAAAAACTAGTACACTACTAGACAACTTACCGGTATAAGTAGTTTAGTTATGAATATTTGGATACCAGTACAAGATAGACAGTTATTGCCATTGAAGCCCTACGTACCAAAGCCATCGTCCATGCCAGCAGCAATGCCCTGCATAGTAGCAGAGGCGCCTGGGGGACTGATGTTGCTTGCATAGGCTACTACTGTTGTGTATCCAAGAGCGTAGCTTGGTCCTTGTAGTAGCTCCACACCCAGCACCCACCAAGGGTTGGATATCAGCGACAGAAGTCCAAGTCTCAGCATGTAGAACAGGAAACACAAGGACATGCAATGTTTGTAGCCTACTGCAGCTAATATATTACCTAGAACAATCAAACAAACCTAATACTATCAGCTATAAAATATGCACTTCAACTATTCACTTCACTTTTCAACAGAGGAAATTAAATCGGTAAAGCAATAAAACTATAGTTCGGCCACTTAGAAAACGACCTGCGCGCTAATGCTAAACCTATAGCAACTATAGGAACAAATTTTAGGTTATACATCTAAAACCTTCAGTTACACCTTCAGTGTTTAGACATGAATGCCTTAAAAAAGTGTCAATGGTTGAGTGAAAAGATGTACAAAATGTTGTTGTTAGCCTTATAGAACAAGAAAGGAATCTATCGAACTAGGCCTAGTCAGGACTATGACCAAAAGGTTGGTTCTTAAAACTCCCAATATCTATTTCGTTAGGTTAGAATCAATATGCAATTCAATACCAATCCATAATATTACTGTTTGAATTAATTGTCAAGTTAATTTTGTCATTACGTGTTTTCTTTGTTTAAAATTTAATTTAGTTCAAAAAGCAATCAAAAAAGTTAAAGAAGTAAAATCATATCAAAGTGATATGTTGTGAAGAACTGTGCTAAAATAAACTCAGTGTTGTTATTACTTGTTATTTGTAACTTTGCCTGTGATATCACTGGGTGTAGAGTGGAACGAATCGTGAAAAACCTTAACTTAGGTTACAAATTTAAGAATCACAAAACTTGGTTTTTTCTAACCTTAGAGCTTACCCCGTTAAATGCCTTATTTAGAGTAAAGATGAGCTAGATATTCTCATTAGGACAGACAACTATTTTAAGAGTCCTTGGAGCCTAGATAGTCTAACTCGTAAAACAATAAAAGAGCTACAAAGGAAATGTATAATGTTTGAAAAAATATTTTGAAATGGTAAATAACTCTTCAGCAGCTGTTTGGAATTAACAAAATTAAATTGCTCTTATGGTGGGCAAATCCAAGATGGCCGTTAGCTTCCATAGACTCCCTTGGTGACCAATTCAAAACTACAAAGAACATTTCTAATCACACAATATACTAGACAAGGTGAAACCCGTCGAAATCGACGGTTACTTTCAAGGCTTACGTTAATTCATCTAACTGTGATAAATTGGGTGAAATATACATATTTTGAGAATTTTGCATTGTTTAAAAAGTAATAAGTGTAAAAACAATAATGATATTAATTAATTGTGTTAGTTGCCAAATTTGGTTGATCATTCAATGAATAAAATATTCCCCATACCAAAAGTCATCGGAGTTTTAGTATGTTATATGGCATCTCTTCCTTTGGAAGAACCTTAAAATAGTATTGAAATCGTATTGGTGGATCTTTTGTAGTTAAACACCGTGATTTCATCAGTGTAATATGATTTTATTTGAAAATAAAATATTTTTTGGGAAGACATACTCTAATTTCAAAGGGAGGTATATCCGTTACAGTGTAAGTTTAATTTTTCCTTCGTCACGTCGCGTCAGTTCATATCGTACTTCTGTGCCTATGAATGAACCCTCTAGCATAGTTCTGAGACATTGACTGTGGGGTTACTGTTAAAGGTGGAATTCCTTGACATGGGGGATGTCAGTTAGTTTGTCTCAGCCTTATCAATAACATAAAGTTGTCAATATAATCTCTCTACGATATGTTAGGTGTAGTGGAATATACTTGAAGTGAAGTTGGCTTTTATTCTTGAACTGTTAGGGGCCTCCTAGTTCATATGGTCTTGTGACTTCATTGGCAACAAATAATACAAATGACATAGCAATGGGACATTTCCAAAAAGCAAAAATACTGTAAATTGGCTGTTACGTATATATTGAGGTTTACATACATCAACGTATCTTATAAAGGATTATGTGATCTAGTTTAAAAGGAATATGACCTTTCTGTCATGACAGTAGCTGCTTAAATAGTATTTTCTCCTTGTACCATATTTTACAGCCAAAATGTTGTGTTATTTTCAATAATGTTACCAACCCAGTGCGCCAAAGTCCGTAATGTAGGCAGGTGCAAATAATTTGTCAAGATGGGTACCATTTTAAGCAAGGTTTCTATGTTTGAATTTTATTAGACACGAAAAGAGCAGATATTTCTACATAAATATATGATATGTGTAGAATAATATGACTAGGGTTGCTTTCAGAGAGGTGAAAGCCAGTTGAGCGGAACAAACGTGATTTGATATTTGTATAAGTAACTAAATGTAAAAAAAGTCAATAGATGTACTAATGCTGGTTTTATTGATTAAAATTATTATAATAATTCAGATTTGTTTTTACTACATCTTGTTAATCAGATACCTCTTCCAAAAGTGCATTATGGTAGTTTTGACCAGGAAAATATTACAGTAGTTGGAATCTGGTATTAACATCCAAAAAGGGCATTAAAGTATAAAAAAGAGAAAGGAAATTTAACATTCAAATTCAACTGTAGCCTACAACAAAAACATTGGACTTTATTTTTCACCCTTACAATCGGTTAAAGTAGGCTATATTAAAGTATAAAAAAACAATAACTATTAAAAAAACGAGTATTAAAAGTATTACAACAGGAGGGGAAATTTGACATTTAAATTCAACTGTGCAACATAAACATTGGTCTTCATTTCAACCCCTGCAATCGGTTAAACTCAGCTTTCTTTGCTAGAAATAATTTATGATTGTTAATACCAAGTATTCTTGATGGAGGATATGATTGTAATGTAACTGGAATGTAGGTCTTCTACCATTATTAGGACGATTAAGAGACGGTATTTTAATACTGTCCTTAATAATACCATTGGCCATTGGATACAGAAGATTTTGATGAAAAAGCTGGTTACAAATTTAACATGGGGATGGAATGTCTCTAGTTGTATTGCTAGTCAAAGATAAAACATAGGCCTACGAAAAATGTAGGGCTATTTTAACGTAAGACTCAAATGTAAAACACCTTTAAAAGACTAAAATGAACTGGCTGAAATGTAGGCCTAAACATAAGTAATAAGTAAACATCGCATTCAGCCACAGCCACCTCTAATACTGTATTAGAGGTGGCTGTGATTCAGCTGATTTAAGGGAAAACAGAATAATAATAAGAAGGGAAGTCATGCCTTAAAAATACAATGTAGATAATATAATTAGAAATTAGTAGCCTACTTCTGGACAGGCCTAGACGATTATCCATACCTTGGTTAAAAGTGTACTTCTATAAGTCCAGGTAATTAATTATTTACTTATTACAGTTGTAACTGGACGTATGTATAGTCCGTGGCTTGGCAATCAAATAACAGTATTTATATAGGAGAGGCTACTGTTGTCAACATTTGAAATTACTGAATTGTTACCAAATTACTGTTTCACAAAACGCAGATTCCATTTTCAGCCGAGCCATTAAAATGAGGATTTGACGAACAATTATTAATATTACAGAATAGTATTTAATGATATACAACTTTTCACATTTCATAAATTATATGTTAGTTTTGCTATGGTCAAAGGTCCAAATCCAAATGTTCTTTTCATTTGGTTTTTATGTAGTAATTTGCTAGAATCATTGACTTTATATAAAGTCAATGCTAGAATACAGTAGATGGTTTGTTAAGACCATATGCAAACATTTTTGAAATCGTTTCCCCGTTTAACCAACTGTTCCAAAAGATAGAAATTATATGGTGCAACACAAATAAACAACTCGATCACCTAACTATAACCTACACTTTACCTCCCTAATCTAACCTTACTTCAAAACACTTAATGTAGTCACGAATACTCATAAACCCCGACCTACCTTCCCTACATGCCTAAATTAGATCAGTGTTCAATCTGCGTTTTATTAATAAGTGTAATAACTTACTGCACCGTCGATGTAATTCAACATAATATAACCTGTGATGTATTATCGGATTAAATATCGATTTCGATGCGGTTCGATATATCGCTTATTAAATCCTGATTTCTAACATTGGCTGTTATTAATCAGCTGGCAACACAAATAGTTTCCCAAGAAAGTAGTCACTGGTCCGTATCCCTCCGCTCCTTGTTTATGCTCCGCGCATTGAGAAAGTAGTTCCGTATATTTTCTCGATTTTCAGTGAATTCCGCGTCTTAAAAAAATGTTTTAACGGCATTTTCTTGTTTATTAAAATCATAGGAATGGTTTAAAAACGTTTGAAAGAAAAGTCTAGAAAGTTCAGAAATACCTTATGATTATCTTGTTTACATTTTTCTTGTAAACAAAAAACTTTCATATGGCTACTTTAGTCCCATAAGCCTAATGTTAAAATTTTGAAATTTTAAGTTAGTTTTAAATTGCGTTAGCATTATCTAATTGAAATTTGTTTGTTTATTAACCATCTCACTATTAGTCTGAGTAATCTTGTTAAATTTAGCTGAAATGTGTTCTGCCGTTATTGAGTGATGTTGCTTTATTTGTTGCATTGAAGTTGATCCCAAAGTGCTACGCTCAATAAAATGTAGGCAAAAGTGGTGAAAAAGGCAGACACCAACCCGTACAATAGATATAGGCCTAAGAATAATTTAAGAATTCAAGAATTGTTCTGATAAAAGGATTTTCTACTGATTTCATAATGGAACGTTATATTGCAAAACATGACATGATAAAGAAGAAAATCAATTTTAAAATCTGAAAATAATGTTGCAAATACTTATTTGGTAAGATTCGGTAACTCCCAATAAATGTGTGTTGTTTGAAATGCAATTTAAAAATGAACAGCTGTTTTATTAAAAAGTATTATTCACATGGCCAAAATGTAAACAACTCTGTGGAGGGATCTTTAAAGGCTCCTGGGGCAGAGTCCTAAGGGATTTTGCTTAGTTTTTCTTTTGATAACTTTGATCTACAGACCAAGACCTTTCTTTGGACAACCCTACCAAGTTTCTACGCCCAGCCGTTCTCTCAAATTAGTGGGGACAAAGTTTCCAATTAAATATTTAAATTCCCCCATGTTAATCTTATGGGAGAAACTCCAACTTTGGTGGCCTGTGGGGCAAAGCCCGAGGATTTTTATTACAGGAAATGGTGAAAGGGGGCGTCTACACAAAAAATACTTTATTTTGACACGTCGTTTGTAAAAATCCGTCCATTATTAACGGAGGAGCAGTGTTTCGTAGAAATCGCCTTCACGTATTATATATAAGGATATTTAAATTATAATCACTTTGGTGTTTGAAAAAAAAAATATTTTAGGACAATAAATAACTATTAAGCAGCTGTTTGAAACAATCCAACATGGCCACCAGCCTCCAAGGACTAAGTCAAATCAAATCAAATCAAATAATTTATTGTCCATAAACATATAAACAATGCATAGACAAAAGTCACAAATGTCAAAATAAAAGTCATAAAGCATTAAGCATAAAGCATAAAGTGTTCAAAAGCCTTGGGTAAAAGAGCAAAGGAGATGGGTACTTCTGTATTATATTGATGAAAAAATTCTCGTTATAGGTGTAAACAAGCAGCTTTTAAATATAGACAAACAGGTTTTATTTACTAAATCAATAAATAGAGTTACCTTCGTCAATCAGCTCATTGTAGTATTATATTGTTACGGCCGTTTCAGCATATTCGTGCCATCATCAGCCGTTCAGCCTTAGTGGCTGATATTTGAAATCAGAAGAAGGATTCAATACCAAGAGGGCAAAGTACAAATGATAATGCAGCCGCTGACACGACACCGCAAGCAGGGCCGGCTTAAGGGCCGGGCAACCCGGGCGGCTGCCCGGGGCGCCGTGGGTTAGGGGGCGCCGAAACGCCGAAAAATTTTTTTTTTTTTTAAATAATATTTTGCACACAATTAATTGTTCTGTCGCGGGGGCGAAAGCGCCCGCCATAAGAGATCATGAAAATAACTTGCATTACATTTTTAGAACTTAAAGCAACGTAAACTTTGATAATATGGGTCCATAACATAACAGTTGTTTAGTAGTTTTGCATAGGCTACCTCATATAAAATACTAAATATTTACAAGCTTACTCGAGCTCAATACATAATAGCGGCCAGGTTACGTTACGTGCGCCCCACCCCCTTTTAGAATCATAGACTCGTCCGATGACTCATGCAACCAGTGGTGAGTGAAACGTCAAATGGACAGCTCTTAATCCGCACGCTGCGTTGCAGGTTGAATTAAGATTACAATTAATTATACGTATCTAATTGTGTTAAGTGTGTGTGTATGTCATGTGAGTATTTACGTGTGCTACAAACAAATTGGAAATGTCCGGTAATAAAAAACCTTCGGGAGCATTTCACCGCAAAAGGAAACTAGAGCGTTCTAAAGAAGATGAGAAGCAATCCAAAGTGTTGCAAAAGTTCTTGACAACTGCATCATCAAGTGAGAAAATTGACAATACTACAAATAAGGTAACAAAACCCGATGGAAACGAAAAGGAGATATTATCTGAGAATACTTCGCTTCTTCCTGAACCACCAGTTATTGACAAATCCGTTGAAGTAAGTAAAGAGATCATGATATGTGTTTTTATTTTAGTACTTAGGATTAAGGGTGCGCTAGACCTGGGCTCAAAAGTCTCAGCACGATGTTGCTAACCGCCGCTAGGAACGGGGAGTACGAAAATCAGTCGGAACGCTGTACAGTACAGGAATTGGGGGGGGGGGGGGCGACTGAAAGAGCGGCGCGGACGGAGGGGAAATTGACAAGATGGCGGCGGTAGTCTGGAGCTCCTGTCGCCCCTATTCACCCGCACGCGCATTGTCACACCGATCCGTTCCATCCGCGGCCTGGTCTCCGATCCGGGCATGAGATCGGGGACTTCTTTTACGCTTATTGAGTACCGTAAAACAGAGAACCATTAACACTCGTAATTTGGGTCTATTATTTTTTTTATGTACCTGTAGGTTTCTTTTTTTAAACGTAAATTTAAAAAGGCTTAATTTTTATGTTAAAAATTCAAGCAAACCATTCAAAGGCAAATTTAGTTTGAAAATGTAAATGTCAAGTCACAGTAATTGTGTAATAGTTGTTATGATAATGGTTAACACAGTAAAACATATGGTTTTACATGTGTCTGATATCTCTAGATATTTATCACCAAGTATAATTGTTAATTTCTCCATGTTTATTCCAGTTTATCGAGGTAAATTTATAAATAATGGTTTGATTACGATACTGCTCTTTTAATCCAACTGCATTTTTTTGTGTCCATTTCCATTTAAACTTACCTACATTTGAAATATAAGTATAATTTTACTTTCTCCCCCCTATACATAGTATAAGGAGAAAGTATTGTTTTCGTCAGAATTAACAGTGATCCGGATGATTCGGGCCCGGATAATCCGAGGTTTACTGTAAATGCAAATTTATTTGCTGGTATTTTTTTTGAAAGATAAGATGTGAACGTTAAAATAATTGTAAGCATCAGAGTCTTAACTGCTTGTAGTCAAAACAATTTTGTAAGCCTTTATACAATTTTTATATGCTCGGGCTCGGGCTGGTACTTAATTTTTCTTATTTTTTCGCAGGAACCGAAACCTGTAGAAAACGAAGTTGTATCTCATGATCCCGGAAACTGGCCTGCTAACATACCGACCTCTATTAGCGACATCATCGTACAACGAGGACCTGAACAAGTATTTGATGTAGAATTCCCGGTTAATAATCAAGGACGTCGTTTCAGCGTAAATTCCTACCGTAGGCGCATGGACAATGGTGAAGAAATTTCGCGTCCCTGGCTTGTATACTCAATATGTAAAGACGCAATTTTTTGTTTTGCCAGAAAACTGTGGCAGCAAGCCTATGGACGTATTGAAGTACTTAACGAAAAACAGGTTGTGTGAAAACTTTCCTAACCTGTGTATTGCCCTCAGGATAATATTAACTATACCGGTAAGCGTAGCCTCGGGAGAAAGGAGTTTCTCCAAACTGAAGCTAATCAAAAACTACCTAAGATCTAACATGTCCCAAGAACGACTAGTAGGACTGTCACTAATGTCAATCGAATATGACGTGTTACAAAAAATAGATATAGACACTTTTATTAAGGACTTTGCGGAAAAGAAAGCTCGAAAAGTTTCATTCTAACTTTCATTTATCTCTGTCCGTGTCCGTAGGATTAAGTTTGTTTATGTAAAATAAAATTCTATGTTGAATTATACATTGTTTATAATATCTTCATCTAACCCCGAAAAATACTTTCGAACAACTCTTAAACGCAAAACATACACTTTAATGTTTGCACAAAATTGATGGACATTTTTCTACAATAATTTTTCTATTTTGCTAAAGTATTGTTTTTTTTTTTTACTTAAAACTAATTCAACTAAGTAATATGTTCAAATTGAAAACTATATCACTGAAAATTATTATAAACTCACTGTTAGTTTTAATGCTTCAAAAAACCAGTTGGAGGGTATATTTCTCCCATTGCTTGATTTTGATTCAACCGGGAGCATCACCGGGGAGGGGGGGGGGCGCCAAAACAGCAGTTTGCCCGGGTTAGTATTTTGCCTTGAGCCGGCCCTGACCGCAAGAATGATTCCAGTCAGCTACTTGCTTGAGTGCGGATATGTGTAATAAAAAGGCCTGTTTAGTTAAAAAAAACCCCCGTTTATGTTTATGTATGTGTACGTCGCGTGTGACAGTTTGTGTTTTTGTATATTAACAACGCCACTAAGGCTGAACGTCTGATGATGGCACGAAGATGCTGAAACGGCCGTAACAATTTAATACTACTATGAGCTGATTGACGAAGGTAACTATATTTATTGATTTAGTCACAGGATCAACTCAGGGGCTAAAAAATATGGATTTTAAAAAGGTTTTATTTAATTTTTTGTTAATAGAACAAAGCTTAGGATTGCCTAATGGACTTAAGTGCTAAAATAACATTCAGCCAGATCAATAGGTATCCTTACTGACCACATAAGAAAAATTAAATTAGAATGAATTTATTCTCATTAACAAAAATAAGAACGTGCAGTTTGTTTTTTACCTGATAAAGGAAAGAAAATTATCTCTCCAATGAGAGTTTCCGCTGCCACTGTTAATCCCTGGAGTAGTTTGATATGCTCCATCATTCCTTGAGCCAATGCCAGATCCTCTAAATACCTGTTGATGATCAAACGAATAATAAACTTATCAATTTTAAAACTAAACTCATTTTATCTTATACCAATTTTCTTTATACCAACAGTTTGGCTGTCTGTGCTGTATTTGTTATATGTTGCCAGGATTCAGAGTTATAGAACATAATCTTTGGCTTACTGTTTTCTAGGTCTATTTTATCTAGAATTAGATTTTATTGTTTCATGAAATTAGATAGTAAACTAAGGTATCCAACGAGATCCAGTCACCAAGAAACAGGCTAGTTGAAACCTGACACCCGTGCCATGATATTCGCTTCGCTCACTATTCCTCATCCCTCATCTAGTCAATTGCCATCCATGTGTGATAAAATGTAGGGGATAATCAATGCTCTGTCATAAAATAATGAAAAAGTGGCAAATAATGTTGTTGTATTTATATACAATTGGGAGCTCAGTTTATTAAGTCCAATAATATTCATCATTAACATATTCTTTCTAAAAGTCAAATAATATCAAGGATTTTGCAGGTACCAACTGCCTGAACTTTGGGTGGAAATGGTTAAATCATCATCACTTGCAATTCCTGATATCTTAGCACACTTACATTCAGAGGTAATAAATATCACTATACTAGCAGAGTACCCCTCCTTCGTACGGGGTTGGCATATAAGTAAAATGCTTATTGCAACTATGGGAGAGGACACGGTTCAAGAAAATTTGTTCTTTTAATTTATCGTCCTATAGTGTAGCACACATCTACGATAGCCCTTATGTTCTACCACTGCACCTAAACCATAGAAAAAAGTGAAGTTCTCATTGTGTACCACAACTTTTTGTTGCTAGTTGGTTCAAATTAGCTGTTGTCATAAATGCAAAAACATACTAGTGTTGCACCCTGTTGGTAAGCCTTATAACCTTTTGATGATATTTAATATCATAGAACCAACTTGTGCAGTTGAAACGGCTGACAAAATTCTTTAATCTATCTATAATATTAAAACGAAACAGTGTTTTTTTATTTCACGATTCTGAATCAACCACTAGACGGATTTTCATGATTTTTGTGTTGAAAGAAAGATAATTTTGAGAACTAGGGAATGTCGAAGCCATAATTTTAGTTTAGGGTCCCAGATTTTTATAAATTAAGTTTTAATTTTTAAAAAGTCTAGCAGCCGACGCTAAGATTCTAAGCTAGCTTTTGGCAAAAAATAATTTGCTTAACATAACAGCTGTAAACATTCAGCGTTTGTGTCACAAATTCAGCATTTGGATAAAAATGTAAAGACATACTTAGGGTTGACTTATTTATACTATGTGTAATGCTAATCATTGATATGTTCTATTCTTCTGTAAGAGCAACCTTTGTAATCTTCGATTTGTTTTAGAGCAATATAATTTGTTTTAACTAACAGCTGGTTAAATATAAACTATGGAACTATGAGGTTATTTTATTTACTCTTATTTTGTCATTGATTATAGGAAATAAGTAAAATTAGTAGAGATAATTAGACCACAGTTTAAAATAGTTTAGACCAAAATTAATTAAACCACAGTACAAATCGAGCCTCTGTACACGAGTCTTAATAAAAAAGGATAAATGCAAATTATTTTACTGCTCCACTTTTCAAGGAAAGAATAGAAAAATAACAACGTTTACATGTTTTAATTCTTCATGGTAGCTTTTCTTTACAATTAATGTTTGTCTGCTTTAACTTTGTTTGAATTATGCCTGGAAATATTGATGTCATAAAAAGAAGATCAATAATAATCAGGAATCAAATTTTAAATTACCACCACAACCTCAGCCGGGTTTTATGCAAAGATAAACAGATGGATGACATAGATTGAACACAACGTCAACATTGACCTAGGATACTGCAATTAGACAAACCATCCTTTTAAGAAATCGTGTTCAGTTGTGGTTACGTTTGGGGGTGCCTATATCAGCGCCCCCAAACGTGAAAATATCACTTTTATTTAAACTATGAATATATTGTAGTTTAAATTAACTAATATGGGAAATTACGATGTACATTTATTCAATGAGGGTGGTTAATTATCAAGGATAGAACTGATAATGGTATGGATAATAAACATTGACGATTACGTCATTATTTTTACTAGCGTGTTTACTTTTTATATTCCTGCTACATGTGACCAGTTCTTTTTTCAAATAAATGTTATTTGAACCAAACAGCTGTTTCAAAACAAACTGTTATTGTTTTTACTTTTCTTTGTTTACTTTCTTTTATTTAGCAATTAATGCAGAGAAATTGATATAAAGGATAGGTGTGACGATTAGTTTTGATGTTAGGACACCAAAGTTAAATTATATTGTGTACTGTGAATTTTATTGGATATTATCGTTTTATTTTAGGTCGTTTCTATTCAGACCTACTGGAAATTGTGTATAGTAGTTGTATTGTGGTGATAATAATTATGGAAGAGGCAGGTATGCTATGGAAGGTGGTATCGTTGACTAGGTCTATACACTTCTCAATTGACTATTACCACAGAAAACGTACTACTATAACCATTACTCTCTCTACTGTAGGCTACTTATAATCAGTGTGCGTCTGTGCGAATCTGCTGCAAATCTCACTTCAACGCTTTTCACTTCGTAAAAATTGCAGAATTGCTGTTTTATTGTAAAATTATAGGATTTAAAATGCATATCGTATAGGCCTATGATGGAATAAAAACATATTTGGTCACACAACATTTGTTTACAAGAGGATTTTTCACTTTAAAACTGTAAGAAACTTTGTCTTTATAAGTGTAAACTAGCTGATCTGAATTGTACACGGTTTTAACTGACTACTGAATTCCCGTGCGTAGGACGGGCTAACACCTCGTACTTATTTAATACGCAAGCAGGATTTTTGTGACAATTACTCCTCTGAAACTACTGAACCGATTGACATGTTTTTGGTGTCATTGGAAAGAGCGTAACGTGAAGTAGTGCAGGAAACTTTCTTTTTAGGGAAATAATTAGAGAGTGAGGCCCTGGGGCTCTTAAAAGTTTTGTATTTCTCCATAAGATTAACATGGGAAACAAACATTGTTTTGAAACTTCAGCTGTTGTCAGAAATTAAATATTAAATATCGGTCTCCATGGAAGCATAAGAAAATTCACAATGTTTAAATTTGCTTTGACATTTAAATGTAAACAACCAGAACTGTCAAATGCCTATTTCAGACAGCTGATCCAAAAAAATAAAACAACTATGTAGTAGGTTTATTAATCTTAAACTTTATGATGGATTATTTATTATAAATCTATTTCAATGATTATGAAACAGATTTTTGCCGTTGCGAACCAAAGATTAAAAGTGAGAAGAAAAACATGTGTTAATTGTAAACAGTCAATGTGCAAATTATCTAATGTTGTATTAAAAATGGGTATAGTTTTGGATGTTCATTTCAGAGTTCTGCCAGTTTTTGCCTAACTCTGTTCTGTAGAGTTTAAAGTAGCCTACACCTTATTGTCTACAAATTGGCTAAATAACTTAGGTACGGTACATTATAAAAGCTGACAGCCTTTTTACGTTGACTCAAATTGTAAGCTTACCATTTCCCGTCCATGGGCAGTTTGATAGTTAAAAATTAACCCTTTAAACTGGAATGGGACTGTTATGTAAATTGTGAGTATTTCAATTTGTTAATAATCTTTTAGTCGACTCTTTTAAAATAATCGGGAATTATGACTCTTATTAGTTTTTAAACAAGTCATTTGTTTATAGATAACTCCTGTACTTCTTTGCAATTGCTCGATTTCGAGCAACATGTACACTAGTTCCTTTGAATATGAATACTCATATTTAACTCATAGATTAACATGAGAAACTGAAGAGCCACCGGGGCAGAGCCCGAATGGATTTTTGAGGTAAGAATATGTCTATATGTTAATCGGGGATGTCAGCTATCACCATACCAAATTTCAACCTTGTCGTTTTAGTATTTTTCGAAGTTTACTTGTCACAAACATCCAACCATACATCCAAACTTTCTTACTTATAATATTAGTAGGATAAGTAAACTGTTGTAATGTTGCTTGTTTATGGATAGTACCTGAGGACCGAGCTTTGCTCGGAGAAAATCATTAGTTTACTCTGAAAGCAGTTTAGTATTGCAGATAGATTAATCCATTCCCAAATTAGCGGAAAACCCGTGCTTCGCTACGGAAACGTTCAAATTGGTTGACATTTTTAATAAATTAGTGTTTAAGTGCCAGATTATCCTATACTCTAATATGAGCAATGCTTGTATGTATGTATGCTTGCACCAATATCTCGAAAACGGCTCTGACGATTTTCTATAAATGTTGTAAATAGTTTATTCCTGGCCTAAAAACGAGTTTACTGCAGTTAGATTTGCCAACAAAAATCTAATTACGTAGAAAAATTAAACTGAAAGTCACATTTTTTTAACATTGGTCTTATGTGTTGCTAAGTAACCATCTTGGCTGAATGAAATAACAAGGAAAAAGTAAACAAAAGACTTGTAAAGTAGTAGTCTATCTACAGTATACTAGCAAATTACAAATACAGTTCAAAAGGAAAAACATCAGTTGTTACTATTAGACCAGGCCGTGGTTGGGGTTGAGTATGCAAAATTATTCGGACGCACTTTCTCTTTTGATTGTTGTCAGGGACACTTTGGACAGTAAGAAAACGCATGTTGCCACGATCGGCGTTGGTCGAGTACCAATATGGCTGCCATCCAAAATAGCGGACCACCTGACTTGACCTTGATTGAGAAAAATTCAAATAACTCCATTGTTTTTCGACTGATTTTAATAATTCTTTTATAGTTGAAAAGAAGAAGAAATTTCCTTTAAGAGTATCCATTACACTTATAGTGATACCCCGTTTAAAAAAGTGATAAATTAGATTTTAATAAAGATTTTACTTTTAAAACGGATTAAATATACGTTGAGGTGATTATATTTGAGTTTTTACTGACGAAATATGTCCGAAATCAACCCTGAAGCTGCTTGGGTAACAAAAACATAATTATTAA